GAACAAGTGAACAGTGAAGATGATACTGAAGTTGATGATGTTATTATAGAAGGTGAACAGGATGAGGTGTAGGACATAACTACAGAAATTATGTTGCTTCACTGTTAAATGTTTAGTATGTAATAATGTAATTTAAATGTAAATTTGACAATATATTAGGTGTTAAATACTTCAAATTGTATTTTTATTAACGATTTATTATCACATTGATGAATTCCTGGTGTAGTATTACTTTTTTACTTTAACTAAGGTAGGTATAAATCTCATGTGAAAAATGTATTTTGAGCTGTTGATGAAAGTATAAATGATAACTGCAAATTTAATTTTTTTGTGCTAAGTATAATTTAGTGTTTGAATGTGGATTACATTGGGAGGTATGAAAAAGAAACCAGTATACAGTTCTTATAATCAATAAAACCATTTTAATAAGCAAAATAAGCACAATTCTTCAGTTCAAATCACAAACAGATTATTTACTAAAAAGATCTACTTATATTTATTTATTTATCAATGGGCAATCGCCCAATTAAAATACAATAAACATTATTAATAAATTACAGTTGATTCTTAACGTAACCTACTTAAATTAAATTTAAAAATTTTAATCATACAAAAAATAAAAGTTGGAACAGTAAATAACAAACATTAACAAAGAATGTACAAAACACAAGGACATCAAGCTATCACACACAGTTCTTAAGCTGAGCTTTAAATTCTTTTGGAATACTATAACAATCCAACCTTTGGGAATAATGATTAGCAAACCTTGGTGTTCTAGATGTGAAGAATTGAGTCCGTAGTTTGTGCGATGGGGTCTAACATAAAAGGGTTGATTTAGCCTTGTTTGTCTACTGGGAACATGGAGATTAATTTTTTCCAATAGTTGAGGACCAAAAATAATAGAGTGCAGTATACTATAAAACATAGTGAGATCTTTGTGCATGCGTCGGATTTGGAGAGAAGTTATGTTGAGGGATCTTTCCATATTTGAATAGTTAATTTCTTCAATCCTCTGGTTTTGTTTAAATGCAACAAATCTTAAGAATTTGTGTTGAACTCTCTCAATAGCTTGAATATGGGTGTTATAGTGAGGAGACCAAACACATGAACAGTAATCTAGGTGGGATCTCACAAGTGAACAATACAAAATTTTTATGGATGGGATATTTAGAAAGTCTTTAGCACAACGTTTGATAAACCCTAAAAGTTAAAGTGATTTTGAGACAACAGATGAGATATGGGGGATGTAGGATAAGCTGGAATCGAGCACAACACCTAGGTCTTTATCTGAGATACAGAGTCTAAAGGGCAACCATTAATAGTATAGATATGATTTGTAGGAGTTTTATTCCGACCAAAAACTATTAAATTACATAGGTAAAGAAATAATAATAAGACTTACTCACAATCAATTTAATTTAACAATCTGACGACCGGTTTCGCTTTCTACAATTTGCAAAGCATCTTCAGGTCTAGATACGAAGTTAAACTAATGATGCCGGTACTCTATTAACTGATGGATGTAACTGAATAGAGTACCGGCATCATTAGTTTAACTTTGTATCTAGACCTGAAGATGCTTTGCAAATTGTAGAAAGCGAAACCGGTCGTCAGATTGTTAAATTAAATTGATTGTGGGTAAGTCTTATTATTATTTCTTTACCTATTTGATATGGACTCACACAAGCAACACATTCATGATTTTATTAAATTACACTTTTTAACATTAAGTTCCATTCCGTTGCTGTCACATCAATAGCTCAACCGATCCAAATCAGACTGTAGTTTTTGATAGTCACCATCATTCTCAATTTTCAAATATAATTTTAAATCGTCAGCAAACATTAGGAAAGAAGCAAAGAGGAAACAGGAGGCAATGTCATTAACATAGTTATTGAATAGAAGAGGTCCTAGGTGTGATCCTTGTGGTACTCCTGAAAGTACCTTAATCTCAAACGATTGAAAACCCTGAACACGTACTATTTGTATTCTTTCAGTTAGGTAGGATAACAACCATTCTAAAAGTTCACCCTGGATACCCAGACTCCTCAACTTATTGATTAAAATCTTGTGATTTACCCGGTCAAAAGCCTTTGTAAAGTCTGTGTATACAGCATGAACCTGGAAGCCATCTTCAAGAGATTCTGTAAGGAAATCAGTAAATGTCAATAAATTAAGTTCAGTGGAGCGGCTAGAGAGAAATCCAAATTGCTGGTCGATAAAACAGCCTTTTAAAGTTGCTGACAAATAGTCACAGACAAGGCTCTCAAAAACTTTGGGAATACAACTTAGAATGCTAATAGGCCGATAATTGTTCACTTGAGAATTATCTCCAGATTTTAGTATTGGGGTAATAAAGCTAGTTTTCCAGTAGACCGAGAACATCCCTGTCTTTAATGACAGGTTAAAAATGCGAAAAAAAGAAGTGAGAGTCCTTATTGCTATCCAAATTGAAAACTTTTTCATATATAGACGAAATAGAAATGCTAAATTGTGATAGGTTGATGTCTCCTGTTAAAAAGGTTTCATCCTGCAAATCAAACTCTTTATAACTATAAGTTTTGGAAAAGTATTCAGCAAACAAATTGACAATCTTCATGCCAGAAGAGCCAGAAATATTATTATAGTGCATAACAGAAGGAATATTATTCCTGTTTTTTTTACTGTTAACAAATTTCTAGAAATTTTTAACATTATCTTTCAGAGAGGATTCAGTTAGAGCAACATAATCAAGATAGCATTGTTCTTTCAGTTGTTTACAGTTAGCTCGTAATAAATAAAACTCATTAGAGTCAGAAAGTAATTGAGATTTTAGATATTTTTTATGCATTTTCTTTTTTTTATATATTGTTGTTTTAAGCTCTAGAGCAAACCAGACAGGAAACTTCTTTGCTGAATACTTTTTCAGGTTAACAAAAACATAAAACATGTTGATCATATCATCAAGACTTTTATCTTTAAACAAATCATCCCAGTTAAATTGTAAAGAAAGTTTGTTACTTCCCGTACACTCATTGAGCGAAAGTCTCTATAAAAGCCATCTCCAATCAATCCTGGCTCATTGAAATATTGAGATTCACATTTAAACCCAAATGAGAGTGGAGGATGATGCCTATCCTCTGGAAGTAGGGTACTCTCAGCTCTAGATACTCTAGATATTCTATCCTTTTAATAGGAATACAAAACTAAATACTTATTAGGAAACTTATAACAAAAACATTTTGTTCTGTACTTATACAAATTCAAAATTAGCAACTACTCTACTGACCCAATCTTTGACCAAATGAATGGCACCAGATTAATAAAATTGTAGGTGACATTCATTTTTCAAACTTCATATTCGCCACTATTTAGTTAATTTGGTTTTTGCAGTAAATCCAGCATATGGAACCAAAACATTTTTAAATATTTATTTTTATAATATTACCATTTCAGTATGAAATAAATAAAAGCTAGTATTTCATCTCTTAAGTGTAGAACTATAATTGTTTACTTCCTCGTACTGCAAGTATAGAAGTATACAGATTGTGAAAAAATTGATGTCGAAATTTTGATAAATCTATGTTGAGTTATATTAATAAATTGTATTTTATGTGCATTTGAAACAAATTTAATTTATACATACCTAATTTAATTTCATATACACGTAGCATAATAGAATAATATAAATAAATAATTTCAGAGAATGAACGTTTTCTGTACTAGAGAAAATTTTGTATAAATCTTTCAAATTTAAAACTGTGATAAAAAATGGTTATTTTACAATTACGAGAAAATTAAAGAATTGATAGAATATTGGCTAAACTTTTATAATATATTACCGTTTAATTTTACTAATTTATTCGCTTATAATTTTTTACAAAGACATAAAATATGGGACACTATCTAAATATTTATTATATTTTAATAGCATTTTAACTTTCTCAAGGAGAGTGATATAAAAGGTGATATTAGAATCAAATTTAAAATTTACTAATAATTTCCCATAAATCTACAACAGGTTAGGTTTAGTAAAAAACTATACGAAGGAAGTAATCAGTCCTGGCACAGAATTTATGTATTGAGTTACAATATAAAACTGTTCAAAGTAAAGTATGTTGAATTGAGAAAACAAGTTACTGATAAAATAAAGCTTTAACCACAAATAAGTTCCCAAATAATTGAGTGGAACTCTATTGAGTGGAGTCTAAATTATCAACATTAGTTTTTTCATCATTTCTACATACTCTCTAAGAATTGCAGTTCTATTCTCCCTGTCAATTAACTTTTTCTTTTCAATTTCTCGTGCATCCCTCCTTTGATAAAAAGATTTCAAATCATATTTAATTTCCAACGAAATGTCATTTCTTTTAACATATGCTGGACTCTGCACCCTTTTTCGTTTTAATGATGTCTTTGTTGTAGCGTTACTTTCTTTATATTTCTTTGCTGAATGGTCATTTCTATCTTGTTCATCATACGACTATGAGAAGGTTGTTATCCTCAAATTCTGGAATTGATATTTGATTATCAAGAAAACAGAAAGTTGTTGATCTTCACGGCTCTCAACTCTGCATTCTGGCCTTGAACTGGAAGAAATCAAAATGATAGGGTATACATTTTTCTTTTTTCAAATATATCATCCATCTCTTATTGATACTCAAATACCTTTCGGCCCCTACCAGTTTGACTATTACTTGTTACTATTTTTTGTAACTAATTTTTAGTATTCTGAATTTATTTTTACATTTATTAGGAGCAATTGTTATTTTAAATTCATTCGAAAGATCTCGAGCAATGACCTCCCAAAGTTTTTTATTATTTTTTATTTTAAAACAACCTACTCTGTCTCTATATTTTTTATAAAATTCCAGCAGCTTTAGAATCTTCTCTCCAGTAAAAAAGTTATCTGTCCTGACTTCGCTGCCTTTATCAAGAAAACAGACAAATTCGCTAATATCTAGCTCTAAAAAAAACATATAACATTATTCCTTTGCTGTCGTAAAACTGCATCTTCTTACCTTGATTTTCCATATTTAAATTACTTAATTGAAATAATTTTTATAATAATAATTAATTGGCAATTTGCTGAACTTTTAGCAAAGAATAGACGCTTACTTTTAGGTTTAGGTTGTCATACAACATACCACAGTAAATAAAATATTTCGAACGTGTCATTTGTCAGTCACAGAACTGCTGTTTTATGTCATTTAATTGTCGCTATACATGTTCGGCAAAATGCTAACAGTTCTAGGATCATTTTAAAATGATTTATAAATCTATACTACTACGCAAGTCGTCGGCGCAGTTTCAAAACTATTTGGTGACGGTACAAATTTTAGAACGCGAAAATACCTAATATGTATGCAGCCAAAGTTATACCTAACCTAAACAATATCATGGCAAAATTAAAAGAAAAACATATTGTTGATGATTGTTCCACAAAGACTTTGGGAAGATTTTTGACCAAAAATGGTTTTAAATGGAGGAATCAATATATGGAGAAAATTACTAATATCGCAGTGAGTGTCGAGAAATTTATTATCTGGACGAGACTTGGTTTGATTCTCACGAAACGATAGATAAAGACTGGACAAACGGTACAAGACATGATACTATGATAAGAAGATAAGATATTGCGCATAAGTCGTGACGTCATTGGAGAGTTGCACGTTCGAAATGTCAGTTTTTTGTATGTATCAATAAATAATCTTTAATAAATAGTTTGGAGATATCCTTATGTGTACGATTATTGTAATTATTAAACCTCTTAACTTATTTTCGTCTAGTAATTTCATCACAGAATGCATACAAATCCCATTTAACTTTAACAAGAATTCAAATTCTACTCTCCAATGACGGCATGCGCGAACACGACCGATTTTGTGCTACGGGAAGATCCTATCTTGTTATTCATAGTATCATGGTACAAGAGAATGACAAATAGATGTACCCCATTCTATAGTCAAGCGAATTTGCATACTACATTGCGGAGGACAATAGAACATGTAAAGAAGATTGAGAAAGAGTACATGAAAAATATCCCAGACTTGAAGAAAATTATTAATAATTTGGCTGAGAGTGATGAAAAGAACGATAATGACGATGAGTTGAAATAACTGGAAGATCCCAAATGAATGTGAATTTCTGAAGTGGCTAGTATACCATTTAATTTATAATAGTAAAAAACCAATGGGTAACTTTTTTTTGAATTTTGATAAAATTTACAGTATGAAGTACGCGCATATTCACAGCATGAAGTTAGTTGCTACATCTAAATCTTTTATGTTAGGTATTAATGCAAATAAAGTGTGAAAAAAAATATATTGGTGTTTTTGTTAATTCGATTATATTAGGACGGTGATAGATATTTACTGATGATTTGTATATTGTATATGTATATTTTTGTGTGTAAAAATCGACCTGGTTCAGTAGTTTTCATCTACTTTATAATTACGTAGAAATTACATTTATCTGTTACTTTAGGACATCACTGTATAATATATTAATATTAAGTGTTCATTGACGAACTTAGCACGGTTAATAAAAAAACTTGTAAATCCACCAAAAGAAAATTTTTATTTTCGTAACTGAAAAAATATTTTATTTTGCCAGTCTTAATTTTGAAAAAAGGTGAAGGTAAATTTTTCTAAATACTATTATGAGGTAGTTTACTTTAAAAATAATCAGTATTTCGATCAATTGGTAAAAACATTTAAGTACACAAATTAATAATTCGAAATTCAACACTTTCTCCGATAATTTTATTTGAATGTTGGATACAGATTAGTACAACTCTGTAAATGTCTCTCTGGAGGTCTGTGTTACAATAGGTATCAATATCGGATTACCAGTAGGTCGGTTTTTAAAATTTCGCATAGATCTTGTCCCTCGCTATACACGAGAAGCAAAGTTCCTCAGTCAGCTTAGGATTTTTAAATAACGAATTATTCTTGCAGGTTTCCATGAGCTTATTAGTAAATAATTTTTTTTTTTGAATTCTCTATTGCAATATTTTTCAAAGCACATTTTTCGTTATCTTAAAAAGACAAGAGAAATGATATTTCTAAAAAAAATTATCAAGAAGCGAATTGTCTTCATATGTATTAAACGAATCTTGCTCTGGTAAAATAAGTTTCTCAGTGAGTTTGTTCAAAATGTTTATTTTAGCCTTATCATCATCTTTTATTTCTCTTTTTTTATTTACTTTGTGTTTTTTCTTTCTTGGCAGTTGTTAAATTTCTATCCTTTTTGGAAATTTTGCTAACAGTAACAGCCTTTTTTCCAAACGTTGTCTTTTTCTCTCCTCCTTTTCTACAGCAATCTTTTTTTTTAAATTCCTCAGCTTTTCTTTTAATTCACTGGGAAGAGGGAATTGCGTATGTTATTTTTTGGTGCTTTTGTTTCCTTTTCGTTTAGATTTCTTTACAAACTGCAAAGTCTCATTCAGATTTGGAGGCCTTTGTTCGTTTGTGTTTTCATTATTATTATTAGATTTTGATATTGTTCTGAAGCTATTTTCTTGTGGCATTGTAAATTAATTACTATTAAACTGGGAATAAGCCACAATTAAAGATAAAAATACGTTTATTGACGTTTCAATTTCCACTTCGGAAATCGTTCTCAAAATACAAACAGTAAATTAAACAAATTTTGTTTTTTGTTACATAGTGAAAAATTCTTCTAATAATTTAATTTTATCTGACTCATTTATATTGACAATTCAGACATACATTATGCATTTTAAAGTAGACGACTTTAAAATGATATTGCCAATATTGTTGAGTTGCGCTCCTGGGACGACTTTACTTATAAGATAGTTCATTCGATTACATGAAATCAACTTTAACTTGAGAATATCCGTCAGAAAAAAATCATAGCATGTAATTCGTCTTTAAAAAGACAAACACATGACATGATGACAGTAAAATTCTCCTGTTAGTGATTCCATAGTAAATTATGAGGGAAAACCAGGAAAAAAACCTCATAATACTATCCCGACATTGTAAGTATTTGTTCGTGAATTTAGTTTACCTTCAACAAACATCAAAATTCTGATTTTATATGTTACGTTATTTAAAAAACATAAATGATGTATCCTCTATATGTTACTGACTTACTAATACTGGTATTTTCTTATTAATAACTTCCTCTTTCAATATTGGTAACCAGATCCTACTACATTCTGCCGAGGAATTTGCGACACAATTGGCCTCATTTAGCATAATTAGAGCCGCTTCTTTGATTTTTCTTTTTTTACTATCCGTTTCTTTTAGGACTACATTTGAATTATTCCATTGAACCCTATGTTCATTATCCCATGCGTGTTTACAGATTTGAGATCTATCAAATTCTTTATTTTTAATATAAGATTGATGTTCACTTATTCTAACATTTAATGGCCTTGATGATTCACCTAAATAAAACTGATCGCATTCACAAGGTATTTTATAAATGCAATTCTTTGTCCTTTCTTGTTCATTGTTAGGTTTGGTTTTGGACAAAATAGATCTCAACGTGTTTGTTGTTTTGAATGTTGTTGAAATGTTGAATTTATTTCCTATCCTTTTAAGTTTTTCTGATAGTCCTTTTATGTACGGTATTGTTATTTTCCTCATATTATTCCTTGTGTATGCTGTAGGATCTCGTTCTAAGTTGTTCTGTTCTATTCGATCGATTGTTGAAAATTCCTTATTTATAAACGATAAAGGATAATCATTTTTTAATAAAACAGATGTTAACAAATGTTTCTCCTCCAAGAACGAATTTTCATTAGAACAAGTAATTTTGGCTCTATCGTATAATAATTTAATTATTCCCTTTTTTTCATTAATATTGTGATTTGATTTGAAATTTAAATATCTATTGGTGTGTGTTCGTTTTCTATACACCTGAGTCTCATATCCATTATCGTTTTTAGAGATTAAAACATCCAGGAAAGGTAGCGTGTTATTATATTCATTTTCCATGGTAAATGTTGTTGTCTCTTCTTTATCGTTTATATCATTTAGGAATGTGTCCAACAACTCTGATCCATGAGGCCATATTGAGAATACATCATCTACATACCTCCACCATACTGTGGGTTTGAAATTTTGTTTAGAAATGATATTTGTTTTAAAATCTTCCATAAATATATCGGCTAAGAATGGAAATTGAAACGTCAATAAACGTATTTTTATCTTTAATTGTGGCTTATTCCCAGTTTAATAGTAATTAGATTTTGATAGTTGAATTTGCTTCGTGCCTGTAGGTTCAGGGGGCATATCTTGGACGTTCATAATTTGAATATTTTCATCCAGCAGTCCGTCTAATATTTGATCGTGATATATAATTAATACAGGAATCTCATTAATGTTGAAATCGGAAAGTTCAGGCTCTTCTGTATAGGCAGCACTATCGGTAGGCATATCTAAAGTTTTTTGTTCCACCGGAATCATTTCTATGGCCTGAGAAATGTGTTTAAAGCTTTTCCGTAACTTAAACAATAGTGGTTGTTCATTTTCTGTGACATCCTTATAATCATTGTTAAATTCTTCAAATTCTTCAATAATGCCATTTCTTACAATGGGATATCTTTGTAACCTTAAAATGTATTGCTTAGACTTTCAGACTTTGTTTCTGATTCAACTGTCAATATTTTTTGTCTACTAAGACGCTTAGAATAATCTAAAGCATTTGGATTCCAAGGGTATAATCTGCAAGCCTTGAATCCACTTTTTATTGTTTCTGATTTTCCAGATTGTTCCACAGCAATTTTCAGAACATTTGCAAAATGTTCTTTTGATAATGTCTCTGGAGTCTCGTCTCCATTGTATAACAGCCTTCTTCCATCCACTTTTGATAGACTTGAAAGCTGACACATCTGCAGGTTGAAGAAGTCTCGTAGAGTTAAGATATAGACATATTAAAACAATATTTAGTTTTTTACACAAGGTATTAAGGTTGTGCATAATGTGTGTCAGATGACCGTCTAAAAACAAAATGATCAAAAAAGATATATTCACCTCTATCAAATGAGGATAAACTATGTT